CATAAACTTACACTCTACCACAGCTACCATCTGCCTCAATCTTGTAGCGGCCATGCAGAGCTGTCATACCTAGCAAAAACAAGGTAAGACGATGCCTAACATCAGGAATGATGCTAATATCTATGAGGAGATTTGTTTATGCAAACATAAATCCAAACATAGCCAGAAGCAAACTAAATTTCAGTATAGGGGACTAACAACATCATAATTAGGGATCAGTTGATGCAAGAGGTGCACAGACCTACAGTTGGTCGCCTTGAAAGCATTTGCACAAGAATGGCTGCAACATCAGCTGCATCGTAAGATCTCTCTCCAATGTCATCACATATGGCAAGTTTTATTGCTGCAGACTGATCACTGATCCTCATTGGAATTATACCCGGTGAATCAAGCATTTTTAAGTCTTTTCCGAACCGGACCCATCTTTGGCAGAGATAATAAGATAGGAAGAAACAGTTCAAAAGGAAAAAAAATGCGTCAGCCCTGTTCTCCAGAAAATCTGGCATAAAATAGTATAAAGTTAATTGATGTATCAGAACTGACTTGTTCCTTTCCACGGATAAAAAGCCACTCAGTTTTATTATAAATCTGATACTTAGAATTTGCAACGCATGCATAAATTTCTTACAGTCCTACTTAGCTGTATGTCTACATCATATAATACCTACATGTTTTTAGACCTACATGTTTTAACCGAGACTAGGGACATTGCTTTCATTCTACATACGAGGTAGATATCAGAAAACAAGAGATAAACATACTTCAGTTCTCTAGTAACACCAGGTCTTGGAGCAGCTGGGCACATTCGACGCTTTAGCAAGCGATTTATTAAGGATGATTTACCAACATTAGGGTATCCAACTACTCCAGCTCGAACCTGTATAACGAATTATGAATTTCTCTCATAGGAAGATCTAACCGTAAGCAAATGACAGAAAAAGATTTATATTAATCATAAAATGTTGAAAATTAGAGCTATGATCTCCTAAAACTACAGAATTTGATAATTAAGATATCTAGTCATTACGCATTTACATGAACTGCCTCAGTGTACAAGAGCAGGAGGAGGAACAATCTGCCTTATTTCCCTAATTTAATAAAGTTTTAAAAGTATTCGCTGTCTACAGAGAATACTACAGGTTGAAATATCTTTTCCTCGTCAGTTGCTTTTTATCATAATGGAAGAACTGGAGGATGAAGTATATTATAGTAGACTTGGAAAAGTTAAAAAGCTGACAGGAAGACATTTAAAGACAGCCATTTTTGTTGGAGTCTGTCAAGACAGAAACAAAGTCTATCAGAATGAGTTCAAAGAATAACTTGAAGATGACTTGTTCCATGTTGACCATTCATTTACAACATCTAACAAGAGGACATGGATAAATCCACCAAAACTTTATCAACAAAAGTTAGTATCATACTATCATATGCAGTCTCAAGAACTCACAGGACGAGGGAGCAGTCCTTTTGCTCTGCGTTTCATGTTCACACCACCTGCTAATTCCTTTGCCAACCTACCTAGCTTCATGGTACCCTGCAGTTTGCAGCAGAGAGTCAATATCCTATTTCCCTTTGCAAAAAATGGGATACAAAACCAACATAAAATGTATCCTGGATTACCATCCCCAGCTGCCCATTGGAAAAGATCACTTTTACACCTTGTCTAGCATAATAATTTGCCCAAGCATTCCTATCTGCAGCGGATATCATGTCCTCTCGATTTAAAACCAAGATTCTTTTCCGATTGCCAAGCCATGCATCCATCTGCTCATTCAAAGGCCAACAAATAGCAAAAAAGATTTTAAATTGGGTGCGACAAACTTAAAACTTCTGTGCACAAAAAGCAGATAAAGGAGATGTGCTTCTTCAGAGGGGAGATAAACTCCCAAAAAACCTCAGGTAATTTGCTTCTCCTTGAAAATGAGTAGGAGATGATATAGTCTTCACTTTTAAGGCATGAACAACCTTGAACACTGGGATGAAACTTACTGCACACATAATTGATTGTTTGACAAAACGCTAAAGTGGCCTGTGGTTCTTTTTCTTATCTTTCTTTAGTGGAAAGGGGTCCATTTGATTTCCTCAAATGAAGTTTTCACAACTTATCATGAACACTAAAGATGCCTTTATACTGATAAGAGTGCTTCCCACCAAGTTAATGGCCATCATGTGAATCATACTTCACTTTAAAAAGGCAAAACCAGCAAGATGGACAGCAGCAGCTTAGGCACATATGATCAAAAAGAAAATTGGGAGACCGCTCACATATGCCACTCATAATCTCCAATCTCAATGTCACTTAGACAGTGACGGAGGATTACAATAATGCAGAACATGCAAATGAATGTGTAAATTGACAGTCTATAAAGTTTTCAAAGATGCTAAAAAGCTTCTTGCTGCCAGGAACACGTGCACTGCAAAATGGCAAGTCAACACAACACATTCCCAAGGCATTATGATGCGCACAGAGGACCATAACTTTGACAAGTTCAACATGATAGGTTAAGTAACAGAAAACTAACCTGTGGATGGCCAGTCGACATTGGAATCCTTGCATCTCGAACCTCTATAACAACATCCATCAGTTTCAGTTGCTCCTTGAGTTCTTTTTCAGTTTTTGAAATGTGCCCAGGAAACCACTATTTGATCGTTAGCATGGGTAAATAAAAACCTCATAGACCTTTTCCAGTTCAGGTAAAAGCTAAAGCAGAAAATGTAAACACAACAAAGCGTTAATCTAGTTTATCTTTGAAGAACATCACTCAAGTTCACACTATGATACCTGAATAGGGCGTAATGCCTTCGTCCAGTGATATAGATCAGTTTCCAAATCATCCCAGTCATTTTCTCCTTCAGTTCTCCCTAAATTTGTACTCGGTTTTGAATTCCCATTTGTCTGCCATCCCAAAGCTTTTCCACCAACAATCTGCAAAGTTTTTTTTTTTTTTTTAACAAACACAACATAAACCACAAATAATGATCAATATGCAGGCAATCTATAAGAAATACCACAACATTTAGCACTCTCAGAAAGCCAGCATTACCAAAATGGGGTACGGAAAACACCAATCACGTTTTAATTTGCTTATATAACCACAAAGAAGCTACAAGACACCCATTTTGCAATTTTTCCACAATTGAATCAGTTTCTCAAAGGAGGTAATGGATAAATGGATACATCATTTCATTGGTTGATTTTCCCTTTCAGGGCCATTGCACCTAAAGCAGCTTGTAAGGTTGCATTTGGGAACTACTCTTGCTAAAATTTCTGTGAACTAAATCAGATAAGCTATATCAAGTGATCTCATGCCATCAAGCTGCTGATCCTGGAAAGCACTTTGTCAAGTACTAATTTTGATCATTAACTTCTCCCCAATTTGCACTAAACGTAACCATGTTTCAGTTTTCACAAAACTTCAACATCCCAGACTAGTATGTAAACTTACTGCACAAGATGCATTAATCCTAAAAAAGTAAATATAATCCAGAAATTACATTCATAAAAACATTGTCTTTTCCCTAAAAAAGGCCGAACGGCCATGAATAAACTACGTTAAGCAAAATTAGCCATAAGCCCATACAGAAGAAAGAAGACAACCAGAAAACAAAGCAGAACACAAGGGTCATGCAAAAACATAGCCTTGCCTGAATAGAAGACGAAGAGGGAGGAGGATGAGCGGCGCATATGGTGGAAGGCGGTGAGTAGATTCTGCTAGGAAGACTCTGTCCGCCGCTGAGCTTGGTAGCCGGAACGTTGGGCCAGAGACCAGTGAGCTGGGTACTCATCCGTTCCAGAGATTCCTGAAAACCCCACTTCTGTTGCTGATACCTAATGATTACTAGTATTCTTGAATTCAAGCGTGCAAACTGAAACTAGCGTGGCAGACTAAAGCTGGATGAGGATGTATTGGACGCTAATTCCGCATTTCATCAAACGTTATCATTTCTTTTAGACTCAAATTAAGCAAACTTTCATATTCATATGGTTATTCTTTTACCTTAATTAATTAGATTATAAGTACTAGTAAATACTAATACAATAAATATAGATACTAATACAATAATATACAAAAAATAATAATAAACTCTTTGATACGTCGAAATTTTTGTTCTTCATTTACTCATATTAGTCCAATTTCAAACAATTTTATTTGTTACAATGAACTATGTTCTTACAAAAAGAATTTGAATTCGGACAAGTCAAGATGCGTAAATTTATAAGTGAAGTGACAACCTATCGAATTTGTCACGAGCAGCGGGTCAAAATGCTCAACTTGAGCTCGAATTGTTTGAATCCTTTCTGAGCATTTGAGCATTAAAGTACTTGATTTGAAAAAATGGTCGAAGTTTTCGAGATTTCTATATATACATTATTGTTTTTTATAATGATAAAATTAGTGAATCTCTTATAGTCTGTACTAGAAACTCGAGCTTGTCTCGAGTACGAGCTCAATTTGAACTCAATTTGCTTATTAGAGGTAGGTTGAGCACTTAACAATTGATTAAGTCGATTTCGAGTACTTGAACATGGGATTCATCGAGTTTGCTTTCAGGTAAATACCTTTAAACTCGGTTCCTTATCACCCGTAAATTTATAAGTCCAATTTTCTAGTCTAGATAAATCTTTTTCTCCAAGTAGATTACTTCTGAAGGCTCATACCAAAATTGAGATAGTTGATGAAAGTTACTTTACTACGAGAGGTTTAAAAAAAAAAAAAAAGAACAGTTCTAGCGTAGATAAATTACTCGTTGAGGAAAGAATCACTTGCAAATAAGAGTTGGTGTAAAAAATCAGATCCATGTGCATACGTTATTCATCATGAACAATACATTGTGCTATAAGTTTTACAAGTTGTATATGCTGAATTCCAATTTATTGACGACATTGTATATCGTTTCGAGCAATTTGATTGAAAATTGTTTCGGTCCCGAATCCACATATTGTTCCCTTGTAAAAGTTTAAATCATCAATCGGATGATCCCTTCTTGGAACAGTACGAGACAAAGAACAATTTGACTAAATTGAACAATATAAACATAAATATGAAATTACCTTGCCAGGATTCAATTGATCATAGCAAGATCATAAATACAATTGAGTTGATAGGAGAAATGCTAGAAAATCTAGTGAGTATCAAAATTCAATTTTCCCTGCAGGACTACATTACACACGCCAAAATACTTGCTAACTCTATACATGATTCCAAGTTATACATAGTATACATTCCAACTTTGCTTCGTGTTCAGCCATGTACAATTATCTGCCACATGGGAAGCACCAGCAGCACTGAAAGGAAAGAGATGAAAAGAAAATAGATGCTGATTAATGATTCAGAAAGAAGTAAGAATGAAAATTAAGGGCTTCAAACATGGCAATGCTGCAACAAGACAGTGATTAGAAGGCTTCAACTACCTTCGAATTGTCATTTCCAATTCGTTTCTGACCATTGGAGTAAGATGATTCTGTCGGCATAACAGGTACTTTTCCAGCTCCACTGTGTCTCTCCTCTCGCACTTTGTTAAATATGTGAGTGTATCCTTCTGCTGATGCAGGATCAGTCTCATCCCAATCGCCGAATTTGGGAACAGCAGGGCTGTGATCAGGCTGCCACATCAACCCGAAAGTTAAGAAGAGAGAAAAAATTGACTGATAGAGAAACAGAACTAAAACTGGGGAAGAAACCATAGCAAATAAAATGCCAAAAAGGTTCACTTAAGACAATAATATTTGATAGAAGCGTAATGCTGTTAAATTGTTAACATGGAAAAGAATACACAATGTAACTAGGCGGATTAGTCTAAATTCCAAGATTTTCTCTACCATCCAGCTACCTCCAAGAATCAGTATTTGATTGATGAAAACATGGTAAGACTAAACTTTCGTTCCCAGAAACAACTGTAAGTTGCAAAAAAAATAGGATGAAATTGTGTGTCGGTATGCATGATCATTTTCTGAGATGTTACCACAGAAAGTTTAAGAATGGCATACAGTTTCATCGCCTCGTGTTACTGATTTTAACCGCGATCCCCCAGGAGTGGAAGGAGCCAAACCAAGGCCACCTTCTGAGGAGCCTTTTCTTTCCCAAGATGGAGAAGAAACTCCACTGCCTCTGCCACCAGTCCTTACCTGAGAGTGTGGATGTAGCGGAGACTGGTCAATGCTGCGATCAGACCCCACACTTTGCCTAGCAACCCTCTTAGGTGTTTCACCAGCACTCAGGCCACCATGACGATGATGTGGAGAATCATGACTAGTTCTACGGTTTCCGGTCTCATTCCGCAATGGAGAATCAGTTGGCCTCCTCAAATCACCTTCTTCTCGACTTTCATGCCTTGGTCTTACTGTGTCAGTTCCCTTCGATCCTTCTGACTCTGGTTTTCTACTCCCATGTTTTAAACCACCTTGCTTATGATGAGGTGATTCATTTGCAGATTTCTGACTCATGGCATCAGAGTGCAAGGGAGAGTCGATTGATTTCCTCAGGTCACCATCTTCTCGGCTAGTGCGTCGCACATGCTTTGCCCTGGCTGCCTCTGGTCTTTTTTGGCCCTTTGTTTCAGCATCCAGATCCTCTTGCGGATCATTTGTATTCATTTTGCTACCTTTCTTGCCCTTCCTGGCATTATCAAAGTAGACAGTGTAAGGCACATCTTCCTCGCTTTCCCAATTGCCAAACTTTGGAACTTGTGACCGTTGCTGCAGAAAAAGGAACCAATTTCATAAACATGATCCCAATCAACAATACAAAAACAGAAATTCTACAGGACAATGGTATAGAGTAGGGCTTCATGCTAGTCTCACGCATAAATCCGCCATAAGCTCAAATGCTTGACTAATTGACATGGAAAAATTACTACCAAAAAATAGAAAAGTAAAAGGATATAACCTTCCCTGTTAAGACTAAACCTTTCTCAGGAATTGTTCACATGGCAAGACGCCAGGGCTGGGAATATAAATCTTGCAGGAACATTAGGACTAGGTTCCTCTTGTTCTCAAGGCTCACAAAGTTGTGGGAGAATGACAAGTTCACCTCAACCTCTCCCATTGTCTAGTTTTAATAACTACCAAAATGGAAATCTGGGCCAAAAAATAAAAATAAAATCAACTCATGCATCATTGATTTTAGGATTGAAAAGAACTAAGGCTTCATTTCAGAAGTCCATAACCATTGTGGAGAAGATCACTTGGGAAATCGGCAGGAATTAACGTGTTATCCTCAACTCAATGCTTGCCAGGCTTGTTATGAAAGCTAATGTGTTATCATTCAAGCTTGTAACCCTACCTCACTAACATCCCAACAAGAGTACCATTGATTGTGGGATCAACTCCACAGCTTTTATGTTTGATAACTTTATTCAAAGAAATGATTATCCTCTTTGATAACTTTATTCAAAGAAATGATTATCCGATACCTATTGCTGTGGGATCAACTCCACAGCTCTTTTGTGTGACATCTTTATTCAAAGAAATGATTATCCAATACCCAGCTTTAACACCTCATAACACATATCCATGTAACAAAACAAAGGTGAACTAGCAAGTAATTGCGACCTGAACCACTCACACAAAATGCTACAGCTCAGAAAATTTCATTAGCATTCTCCACAAACTCAATTTTTATATGATAATCCCTCAACACTTAGCAACAAAAATAAAATGAAAAGAACCCTAGAGTCCAATCAATAAATCCAGTTTAGTTAGCAAGTCAATAGATAAACCTGGCTGGACACTTTAACTAAGATTCTCAGTCTGCAAGACATAAACACAAGAAATATCATATACGAGTCTATCCCAATTGATGTTTAAGGTATCAGTTTTGAAGCTCAAGAATGCTTGAAGAGTCCAACAAGGTTTTGTGCTTTAGATATGTTTCTGAAGATGTCAGTGAGGTGGGGAAGTTGGGGATGTTAATTACCGTTCGCCAAGGCTTTGAAAAGGACATTGATTATTCAGGAGACAAAAACAAATTGGGGGAACACAGAAAGCAGAAGGGATTTTTTCTGCTTAAAGGTAAAATATTCCATTATCCTTTGCAACCAATGTAGAAAAGAAGTGCCTAACAAGATGGCTACTTTTGTGAGTATGGCCACTTAAGCCAAAAAGCTCAAAAGTAGAAGTACAAACTAAATGATTATGCTTTCCAAATGCAGAGAGAAAAATATCAACAAAATAAGGCAATGTCATCACAGGACCTGATCTTATTTGCTAAGCTTAACAAGAAAAGAAGGCAAGGGCTTCAGATAACTATATGAATAGACAAGTAATTCACAGCCATAGAAAATGTCATCTTTTAGAAATAACATATTTAAAGTTTCAAACTTGATTCAGAATTGATTTAAATTAACAATTACTGTTTACACCCGTAAAGTTCACAACTCAAGTATAGCACTGGCAAGCATGAAAAAGACAGTTATTTCTACTTTAAGGTACGGGGCGACTTTAACAACAACATGATACATTACAACACAGAAAAATCAGATTCACTGCTCGACAAAATGAAAACAAAAAGCACTAGCTGCCTTTAGAATAAGAGAAACGAATTACGCAACGCAGTTGGCTTAATACAATCCAAAATAAAAAAATTAGGGTATACTATGGTAAATCTGGAGAAGTCCAGAATTTCTTGTGACGTACTAATAGCATCTCTATTTAGCCACAAACACCAAAGATTTACATCCTGCTAATACAGCCACTTCAAAGGTAGATGGTATTCATGGCTTTGTTTTTCCCCTCACTACTGATACATATCCCCCTCTTCAAAAGAAAAATACGGAAAAATGCCAAAAGATCAAAATAAATTCCTGAAAATAGATTAATCCAATGGTGCAACCTTCAAAATCAAGAGCCTAAATCAAATACGTAAAAAAGCCATCTAATCATTGAATCCACAATTTCCTTAATGATATATCTGCTACAGAAAAATCCCACAAAAATGATCACTATCACGTAGCCAATCCAACTCAAATAACACAGGATTCACTTCCCAATCCACATTAAACAACAAAATCTAACCCGCAACAAAAATAATATTGTTCCATAAACTACTCGTAGAAAAACCCACAAAAGAAAAAAGGAAAAAAATCATTTGAATTCACATTATTATGAAACACAAGATATAGATCAAGAAAGATAGTAGTAGAGTAAAACTCACAGCCATTTTCCAAAATTCACCCTTCGAAGCCTTCAATCAAGAAATTTAGGCTGATTTGAGCAGAACCCACAAGAAAAAACAGAGCTTTTTTTCACTGAATTTCAGTTGGGATGATGGCTCAGTGAAAAGCTTTTGTCTTGATTTAGTTCCAGTGCCAACAAAGACCAGCTCAGAAGAGGAGTAAAGAGTTGGGTGTTTGAGGGAGACCGGTAGACTGGCGCCACCGGTTACATTTGACATGGAAAGTCTCTCTTTTAACACACGACACGTGCCTAGTTGACTGACTCCACGTGCTCTCAACCGGTAACTTTGATTTGGAGGAGAGGGGTAACCGCCGCCAACCGGCAATGTACAATAAAAGTCACAGGTTGTAAACTAACATTAACAACATGTGAACATTAATTATTTTTTTAGTGAGTTGTGTTTTTAATAGTCTTGGTCTACAAAATCTGATTAATAGCCTTGTTCTCATTTGCTTTACATTTTACAAAATCTGATTACGAAAAGTGATTATAAAAAATAATAATGAGAATCAGCAAAAGCTACTGTTTGGGTGATTATGAATTTTAGATTTTTTTTTTGTTATAAAAAAATCTATAATCTAAATACAAAAGCAAACGAAAATATCTCAAATACTCATTATTCATAATCAAAATCTATAATCGGCTAAAATAATCAACTGTGAGAACAAGCCCCTAGTGTAGTCTAATAGAGTATGAAAACAAGATGGTGAATTCATAGTAGAATTATGAAATGATTATTTGAATTTTTTTTTTCTTTTATCCTTGAATGTAAAGAAAACACTTGTATCATTTTGATTGAAGGGTAGTTTTGAGAAATAAATATTTATAGTTTTGACTTTTTCTTTTTTGTGACTAAGAATCTATAACGCGTGTTTTATATAATATAGTTATCTGAAAATTTATTTATACGTTTAAATATAATTTCTAACTCATTTAGATTGTTAATTGACATGTTCTGACAACCGTTCATTCCCTTAAGTTGTATTAGTTGTTTTATGCTGTAATGACATGAGACTAAGATGCTAAAAATCGAACAAATAAAAGACATATTTGTTGTTACTAATGCTAATTATTCTGGTTGGTTGTTTAATTATTTAATTGGGAAAATTAACTACTTAATTAAAACTCGGTACTATGGTTTATATGCCACAAATCACATTTCTACAGTTTCACTGGTGTTGGTGGAGCATTTAATGCTAGAAACAATAATGTTGTTCCATTTAACAATATACACGTCCTGATAATGAGACTATACAGGTGTTAGCAGAGCATTTAATGGAATTAATAATGTTTGAATAATTGGTCCAATTATTAATTGGGATCTAGTTTAAATTCAGCTGCTTGATTTTTGGTACTTTTGTGTATCTGTGTTGAATTGAACTGTTCCTTTAAACTGCCCATCTTTATATGTTTTCTTAATATTAATTGCATTGGAAAGGTAAGATTAATTAAGGAAAGTAACTAAATATAAAAAATGGTAGGTAAGATTAAATATGAAAAGTATATAAATACGAAAGAGAGTAATAACCCTGAACATTAACATACCTTGAATATAATTGTTCAAAATTTTGGCAAGGATTTAGACAAAGCATAACGGGACATTTTACCATTAAATTTAACCAAAAACGATCGATTTTATCCAAATAATCTTAAATAATATGAGCAAACATTTTTTTTCCAATGCATTGACAGTGGATGATAGTGAATTTAATAGATCTTTTATTTGTGAAATTCCTGTTGTAATTTTGTCAACTTATTGTGTTATTTTATTGATTCTTCCCATAATTTGTCTTTGGTGCTAAATTTAGGGGGTCATGATTGAAAGAAGCTCAGAAAAGGGATTCTGGAAGACTTGTTAAGAAAGGACCCATCCTAGGCGTGCTGGCCAAACTTGTGAAATTGTTTTATCTTGTGAAGGCCACAATTAATTCTGCTGTCTATTTGAATCATCGACTTTTCGCCTTTGGGAGTTTGGACATGTGCTTTATTTCTGATATATTAATACTCATTCAACAACCATCTGAGATATTTCTTTGTTTGGTACTTGACAAGAGATATTTCTTCTTTTGAGTAAATCATCTGAGAGACAATTAGAATAGAATAAATATAGGTGAATAAGGAGAGATCAATATCTCTCGACACTTCAACTTTTCTTCTTCTATATTATTTTTCTCTCAAGAAAACAAACTCTATTTTTAATTTTTCTTGGTGACTTTCTCCAGGAGGAGTGGCTAAGGTGTTTTTCTAGATAATCAAGGCTTTTTAGTTCAGCAATAATTGTGAAATCTAATTTGTTTTTACTGTTTTATATATTCATGAGTATTTGTATACTTCTTGAATTAATTGTTGATGGTTATGTTGCTTGACTAGATATGAAGGGCTTGATATTTAATTAACTAGATAATCAACTGCCAATTAAAACGTCATATCCGTAATTGTTTGATAATTTTAATATTTGTGGCGACTAACATAATTGAGGTCGTGTCAAGAGAATGTATAATCTAATCTAAATGAACCAAACTTGTGAGTTTGTTAGTTAGTATTGGTGAATGTTGTCGATATATTAAATTCTAAGAGTTTATTTAGAGTTGTCTATTGACAAGAGAAGTAATTAAAGAGTTTGTTTTAATTACCGAGAAAATAAGAAAAGGCAGGGAATGTTGATGACCATAACCAATTGATTTGTGAATATATAAATTGGTTTTTGCATCGATGATCAATTGATTGAACCAAAAACCAAGATTAATCCTTTGACTAAAAGGTTTGTTTTCATTGATTTAGTTTTACTTAATTTTTCATTATTAATTTCTTTTATATTTATTGCGTGGTTTAATTTCTCCAGAATCCCTTATTTTAATTCTTGAAATTGCAAAGGAAATAAATTCACCAATCCCTATAGATACGACCTTGCTCACCATTATTCACAAACTTATATTTTTGTTGAGTAGGTATTTTTACTTTGTTGGATTCGATACCCACCGGTGCACCAATGAGACCTTGATCTAATAGTTAAATTTGACGTCTTAGGACTTAGATGCCCTAGGTTCAAATCCCCCTTCTCCCTCCCTCACTTCTTAAATCCAACCTCTCCCCTGCTAGAAATTAAAAAAAAAAAAAGAGCATGGGAAATGCAGGACCACTTATACTAGGATTAGGAATTGATATATACCTGAAGACTATCTCTAAAACAATGACCACAAATTTAAGAGGTCATTTGACAAATGCAGGTCAAAATGAGTGACCTATATTTTTCTGTAGTGGGCCAAAGAAAATGAACTTGATTTTAACTTTCGACTTAAGGCATGTTTAGCTAGAAATAAGTAATCAGTTACGTATTACCGATAGTACCATCTTCCAAAGGAAGTAGAGGACATAATACCCATCTCATTGCACCTAACATTGACTGAAAGCTATACTGAGGATATCAAACTTTATATGTGTTTTATCTCCTCCTAAAGCATAGGGCCCATCTTTGAGAGGTTAATGCTAGGTTTTTTTGGCTGAATTTGGAACAAGGACAATGCACTACCTTCACGCCTTCTATAGGCAGGTCAGAAAAGGCGCAGCTTTGTGCATTTGAAGGCACGCATTTAATTTAACAGTAACAGCCTATACGTTTTTGTCGCGAACATATGTTTCACGCCTTTTAGTAGGGCATGCGAAGGCACAGCTTCATGCCATTAACAGATGATGCCATTATTAGGACATTTGAAGCCGTGTTTATTTTGCGCCTTCCTCCCACCTTTTGAGTCAAAGCATTTGAAGCGATGGGCTCTATCTGAGTAGAAACTCCATCGAAGCTGGTCAATGAAGACCGTCACATATTGTGACAAATTTTGTGAGAGACAAGATTCGAACCCTTGACCTCCCGCACCACCAAGCCTAAGAAGGCTTGGCAATTCTGACACTCATTTTTAGAGTTTAATGATAAGTAGTGATGATTTCTTACATAATTAAACCTCAACCACAGCAAACCAACAATTCAAAGACGAATGCTAAATTTTGCTTCGAACCCTCCAACTTACGCTCTACTTCCGCTGTTAAACTACATCCACCAAGTACTTGATGATTTTCTTGATGCTTAAGAGAAAATTACTAATTGTGCTTTTGTGCATACTTCATTCTTGCTAAAAACGGATTAATTTCCAACAGTCAGACTAACTTCAAAGCAAACAACTAGTAATCAATGCAAAGTTATATACACCATCATCAGTCATAACAATCTTCATCACATCATTGGAAATTATAGAGTGACAAATGAACCTGTTTTGCTTGATTCTGATCTGTTGTAGGAGAGTCGGGCAATGAAATGTTTGGGCTGATGAATCACCACAAATGGCTCGCACTTCAGGAAGAGGATATCAACTGTGCTGATGAAAGAAAGAAGAGGATAATGTAAATTTAGACAAACCACCAGGTATTTTATCATGCCTATGACAATTTAATAAGAAACCAATGGAAGTATCCAGCCAGCCCCAGAGGCCATTTGACATCTCTGTCTTCAAGAATTAACAATCATACAGCTGTGTATAGCGGGAAAATGTGCTCTTTAAAAGAAAAAGGCAGCTATAACTTTGTGATTACAAGCAGATACAGCCTAATGTAAATCAATTTGGCACCCTTTGTCGCCCTCATGACATAACAGCACATTTAACGTTGATTTGCATGAAGAAAAGCAGTCTAAGCAAAGCTGAGAGCTGGGAGGACCACCATGAAACTTGTTTTGCTTGTGTAGCTACAGCAGCCAAAGCCAATTGGGGTTGTGACAGATTGAGCTCATATTTCCTTGGGAAAATAGCCAATGAGAATCACAAATGCACTGATTTGAATTGTATAGAATACTTTTGCGCTGCAGTAGCCGATATATCTACTTCCAGTCACCTCAAACGCTTTATTTTTCTAGCATCATCTAAGATCTGGTCTCGCAACCCTTGTTCTAGCTTCAATAATCTGGAAAGTTTGTCGGGAGCTTGATGAAAACAATCATCCTCAAAGCCAGCCTCTGTATTAAGAGCAAAAATAACTATATTGACATCTTCCTCAAGTTGAAGGTAGAAGAGGTGGGTGAACACCTGAAGGGGATGAACACAAAACAGAAATCAGTTGGCATGCTGATAAAAAGGCAAAGAATAGGATGCAGATCGTTTTGCTAATTAAAATAGAAACGTTTAATTAAAATAGAA